GTCGGCCGGTCGGTGATTGTGGCTGCCCACGGTGGCTGTCGGCCGCAATCGCCTGCTGGTCGACCACGTGGTTGGCCAGCCAAGCTGGTCGGCCGCCACCGTGCGCGACAGCAATCGTCGGCCAGCCGACAACGGTCTGATCAGTATCGCCAATCGGCCGACGATTTTGTTTTTTAATTTATTACTAATCAAATTTTTATTTGTTATAGAAATTATGTTAGAATTTAGAAGTTATTATCTTAGACACTATTAAATTATTATTTTATAGAATTTATAATTTATTATCTTAGAACTTAGAAATTATTATGTTATAAATTATAATTGATGATTATCTTATAGAATTTATTATTGTTATGTTAGAACTTAGAAATATTATGCTATAAATTAGAATTTATTAGAGGCCTAATTGTTGGTAATTTCACGACCTAACAACTTTTGGCAATTTTTGCCAAACTTTTGAAATTTAGCAAATATATACCACTTTGAATAATGTTGGCAATTCGAATCCCAGGGTCCAATTTTGGGCTTTTGTCTGCTGAAATGGGGATTTTATGGTGATGTGAAATTTCGGGCTTTGTCTACTGACGTGGCGATAAAAATCTAAGCGACGCTTGGGTTTGAACTTAGGACCTCAAGGTTGTATGATAGCATTATAACCACCACACCAATCCAAGTTATATGTTAAATTTAACAATGTTTAATATATATAGACACTACGTATGAATAAATCAAATTAAAATAATGCTAAATAAAAAATAAACTAAAATAAAGTAAGATAAAATTTATTATAGTAGAGTGCATTTAAATTAAATTAAATTTAAATAAATTTATATATTTCTTATTTATTAAAATAAAATAAAATATATAAATTTGAAAATGAAAATACTAATGATTAAATTTAAATACTTCTTCTTTGTGAGACTTTCTGTTACCTTTTCTTCTATTCTGTTTTTCAAGTCGCCGCAACTCGCAAGGCACTCGACTAGAAGGAGTGGATGTGAGGCACCCATCTCTGGAGGAGAGGATGCCCCTCCAAATCCAAGATGCCCGCCTGGGGACTCCCACAGAGAGATGGGTTCATTCCACTAGTTAGTGATCCCTGTTAAGGTTGAATCAGTTTCCTTTGGTTGGTGGTATCCGAATCCATCCAAGTCTAGAAGTAAGCCCGAGACAAGTGAACAAAGGCTGGCATAAGCACAAGGGCGAGCTGATGTTCGAGGTCTCGGTCGTTCCTTGGATAAGTCCGAAAGTCGGTCTTACCATTCTTCCATTTCTGTGTCCCTCTTTGACTTCACTTCGCTTCGCTTCGTTCTTTGAGTCTCACTTCGCTTCGCTTCGGGCCAGCTAGTGTGAATGGAGCGGAAGCAGGGAATAATCACAGAAAGATATACAGGTCAATTACATCGAGCCTCTTCTGCAATAAATAAACTAGATTAAAGTACCCCAGTTAAAATAAAATAAAAATAATATAATATAAGATAATAAAGTATAAAAAATGGTAACGTAAAATAAGCCCGCATATATATTTTAAGTAAAATAAGCCCGCGTATAAATGGTAAAGTAAAATAAGCCCAAAACCAACATCAGCCTGCGTATCCTGACTGCTCCGCCCCGTGTGAAGCCTAGCTCCAACCCATTCAGCCTGCGCGCGTTTCTCCCTTGCAGCTGTCCCAAGCAAAGCGGCCCAGATGCCTTGTGGCGCGGCCCATTCCGTCCAGCAATGGTCGAAGACGTCGCGAGCGAGGCCCAGCGACTGGATAGCGGGCCTACAGCGCCCCACCCGGCACAGGACGCGACCAGGAGGCCCATACCGGGTTCGAGAGGGGTCCAGGAGTACCGGTGAGTCCACAGTGATCTCCTACAACGAAAATCAGAAACATCTCAGAGCCTGTAAAAATTAAAAATGGTACGCGCTGAACCCTTGCTTCTAGTTTCGCTACGCTTAGGGTTTAATTCGTAGATAGTCTGTGACTTACATAATTTCGAGATCCTAACTGGTCCCAACACTTGATGGGGTCGGAAGCAGGGAAAGTACTCATATATCCAAGACTGCAGAAGAGTCAAGCAGCCAGAAAGTCCCTACGTGTCACCTCTGCTAGTAATACCTAACTGTCTATATAAGTAAGCCATTGCACCTGAACCCCATGAATAAGTCCCAACAATATCAAGTCCTCAATGATCTCGTGCAGGAATTTGAGACTCACCTTGCTACTAGAGCTATCAATTTGGCCACACAAATTTTTTATGGTTAAATATTTTATTTTTGGGCTGGGATTTTCTAGGCCCGCTTCCCCATCCCCACGGGCCGCGGGCAAGGGCGGGGCGAGGCGGCTGGCCTGCCTTATTTAAAAAATATATATAATATATTATTAATATATGTTTATTGTTATTAAATTACAATCAGAATATCATATACGACTTCATTTGCAGATGAGCAGATCGCAAAATATCGCACGCACCCTAACCCTAGCCCCGTCCTGTCGCTTGCCTTTCAGCCTCCTCACGCCTCTCCTCTCCGATTCTCTGACCTCCGCCCGCGCCTCTGCCTCCGCCTCCGGCCTCGGTCTCCGGCGTCGGCCTTCAAAGACTGCCTCCAGCCTCCGCCTCTAACCTCCGCGTCCGGCCTCTGCCTCCAGCCTCATCCACCTACAATACAATTAAATTGATATTGATTCGATGCTATGCAAAACACTCTTTTGAAAAAGAGATGATTACTGGTCTTGTATTTATTTTCCATCACGTTCAGGTTTGTTGAATTTTTTTTATTATACTACTGTCATTACTCAACTAGTGTTGATACCCGTGCGATTGCAATACAAAAAATATTTTTTATTTAAATATTATAAAATTATTTAAGACAATATGAAATTATATTCTTCACAATATTCTATTTAGTAATAAAATGACATTTATTTATTTACTATTATTGTTAATTTCTATTTATATATATATATATTGTGATTTTTGACTATTTAATATATAAATTTTATTATTTATAAGTTTATAAAATATTATAAATGTATAAAATCATATGGTATTTGCATACAAATTACTTGTATGTACTTATAAAATTGTTGTTTATCATAGTCTTATATTTTTTTTTAACAATTCATAATGTGAACATTGCTTGATAATTAACCAACGTTTAACCCATAATATTTATCTTCCGGTATAATTACTAACTGCATTAAATGTCAAAAACTTTGATAAATAAATTTTAATTTTTAGTAACTTTACCTTATGCAACACACAAATATTTTATGGTTAAATATTTTATTTTGTATTTTCATTTTTTTTGAAACGATAGATATTATTATAAATCAAAAGCGCACAAATGTGTAAATACAAACATCTCATAGCTGAATGAGAACAACCAACAACTGAAAAGTGGGAGGACATGTCAGAAGGCCGCCTAGAATCCCAAGTAGCAACGCTAGAAGAAAGCTCGCAACTAAACTAACCAACTACACAAACAACTAAAGCAACAGGGTAAGACCCGAGGGTCGGATCCCAACAGGATAATAAGGTGACGCTCGGGTTCACAGGGGCTAACGGCCCAGACCAAAAAACACAATCCTAAACTACACTAATAACAGAAACACAGACCAACCAAAACTAAAACAAAAACAAAGAACTTAAATGAGGACACAGCCTCCCCCACCAGATACATCTAGATTTACAGCAGACAAACCAACTCCAAAGAGAGCTCCAGAGCACGGAAACAACCGCCCACTACTGCATAAGGCCTAGCAAGACGGGTATCCGCACCTCAGGACCAACCGAAGAGCTGGCCCGCACTCCAATCACGTGAATAGGCAAACACGGCTCGGCTTCACTGAGTCAACCCTCCTGAAACAACAACCACTCAAACCAGCCCGAAGTGGCTGAACACAACCAGGCAGCCGAGCACTAACCGGAAGCAGCTCCCTGACCCCAGAGAACTACAACCCCCAACCGTGACCCCCATATCCAACTCGCCAAGAAAGACTCGAGAGGTCCCTCCGATCGCGGACAAAATAGAAAATCGAGAATGAGTTACATAGTATCTATTCGAATAGTTAGATATATTATATATTTCCATAATTACCAAGTGCTATAATTTAAATTATTGTACATTGCTTTTTTATTAACTTATTTTTTATTTATAAAATAGTATATAATAAAAAAATATATTTTTAAAAAATGAATAGTTTTTTGATGTACATAGATACTTCTAAGGTGAAATTTATAATTCTGAATTGCACCCGACCATCAAATTTTATTTTCATTAATGTATTATTTAAATTTTTAATAGTATTATCACTACATATGATATATTAACGTGGATGTACTTTTTTATATTTAAATTGACTATATTTTAGAAACTATTGTTAATATTTTAAATTATTTATCAAGTTTTTATGATTTAAACATTAATGTTCTGATTATTTTATTAAATATTTTAAGTACTTCTGAATAGTTAATATAATTAATTAAATTAGTACCTACAACTGTAGATGATAATATATTTAATCAAATCAATTTCCGTAATAATTTTTTGAATTGTGTCAATAAATTTCTATTAAATTAATTTAAGATCTTATTGAAATATATCTAATAAATTTACGGTCAAAATTACAATTTAAGCCAATTTGTAGTTAATGGGTAATAGTCATTAAGTGTATAAAAATTAATTATGTTTTTCACGCATAAGTTTTGCTAATAAATAAGTAATAATTAAATACCAAATATAGACGAAAAAATTTCCCGCCCAAAACCATACCAATTATGGCAATAAGGATTGGTCTATTATATAGATATATATATAGATATAAATATAGATATAGATGTAGATATAGATATAGATATAAATATAGATATAGATATACATTGGTTTAATTTATAAAGTTTTTAATTTCAAATTTATTGATTTTTTATTTTTTTATATTACTGTCGTTACTCAATTTGTTTAACTCTTTTGATAGGGAGAACGCATCCATGATTCGGCGCGGGCATGTTTGTTCGAGAAATTTTGGAAACTCAAACTTTCGGAGGGTAGTGCGCATGGGATTAGTAAATTCAAAGTTGTTAGCAATATTAGCAACTATAAAGAAATTCCATTTGAGTGTTAAGCTATTCTTTTATCAAGATACCCATTTGTTTGAGATTATCGATGAAGCATTCCCTAAAGCTATGTTCAACTTTGAGAAATTTTATGCAGCATTCCAACCCAGTTACTAAAACTTAAAAAAAGGTGGGCTGGCCTGCCGAGCCCGCGGCCCGCGGCGGAGGCGAGTTGGGTCGGCATTTTACCGCCCGGTCCCGCCAAAAGGTGGGCTTTGGCGGGCTACCGGACGGCTGGTCCTGCCGGCCCGTTTTGACAGCTCTACATGCTACCACTCTTGTCAACAAACAAGGTAGTACCTAACAATACCTACACCGAAGCAGTAGCCTGATCCACAAGCGACCGAGCTGTCCTCTCAACGGCTGCCAAAATCGAGGAAATTGTCACTGCACATGCTGCCAGAAAGACTGCATTAGCTCAGTTTTAGTGAGAAGCAACATCTCCATGCAGTAAGCCTGGAAAGAGCTAGTGTTGGGGTCCTCTGTAACTATCTCTCCCTCCACAGTAATTCCCGAAATCTCCCAAACATCGTGAAACATGATACTCATTTCACCAAACGGCATGTGAAACGAGTTAGTATCAGGTTGCCAACGCTCGACAAATGCAGAAATAAGTGGACTGTTCACATGAGTATGCATGGAATCTACTAGATGTAACAGCCCGGTCCGACCTTTCAACTCGCGTCCAGCGCGAGGCATAATAGAGAACCAACTCCTCAACTTCTCGTAGGCTCCCTGTCTATTCTTGCATTTCAGTATGATCGATGATATGTTATTATTAAATAAAAATATTTAATGGTAAACAACAATAAGTACGTAAATTGTTAACCTGTGGATCCAGTGCTCGCAAAACGACCCATAACAATTGGAGGAGCATGTCGTGGGGGAGGAATGTCCTGGTAATCTCCAGACTCAAAGTCGTCAGAATTCTTTGAGAACTGCAGCCTCTCGAAATGAGACTCCTCATAATCACCGGTTTGTACCAGAGTGAGGCGTTTCGAAGAGCCAACCTGGAAATCCCCAAATCGCTGCTCATGCAAAGACTGGTTAGTATGACCAGTTTGTCTGAAGCGAATCTGACGCTGCATTCCATTGTCTCTCGCCTGACTAGCGGGAGCATCCACATAGCGATCGACTCCTAGTGTGTCGGGGTCCAAAATCAATAAACTCGATATTCTCTGTATCGACGGCCAGTCGCGAAAGTCTACCACTATTCTAAATCAATAATTTAAACTAATAATTAATAAATAACCTTTTTCAAGTCATATATTTTATTAGTTATTATAAAATAATTACAACGAACTATTTATTACTATTATTTACGCATACTAATCATAATTACTATTATTATTTATTACTATTTCCTAAAATATTAAATAGTAATAATGGTTTAATAGTAATTACCTATTAACTAATGCATATAGTAAATAAATATTTAATTCAAATACATTATTAAATATTAGAAGTAATAATTTTCTTAAAAATAATATAAGTTAGATGCATTATCCTATGAATACATAATTAGTTTGTTACAATTTATATTAGAATACTGATATATTATTACATATACTATAATACTAATTATAATTTTTGAAACTAATAATTATTCAACAAGCTATTTTNAAACTCACCGGTGGTCGGCCGACGAAGCCGCACTGTCCGACGATAGGTCGGCTGGCGATCGCGACCAACTGAAGGTGTGACTGTCTCTGAAAATCGGCCTCGATCCCGGCCGGAAGAAAATCCAAATTTTCTCTTAAAAATATTTTACTAAGCGAGAAGAAAAAAAAATATATACAGAGGAATCATGGGACCTTTGTCTTTGCCATGAGGCGATTTGTCATTTTTCTGAGATTTATTTGGTGGAAATTCAGCCAGGGGATAGTTAATTATGAGGAGGGCAATCTATATCTATACATATATATAATAAGAATTATCATTTAGCAAAAATAGTAGCAAAGAAATAGGTCAAAATTTAATGCAGCCTATAAATAGTAAGTTTTGTTATTTTTCTTATTTCTTTCTTTACAAATCATACAACATTAAATGTTACCTTAAATTTCGAGCTTTAGTTGATTTTCTTATTTAAAAAATCCGGCTAAGATTTATTAAGTGTGTATGTTTTTATTTTTATTTTATTTTTCTTAGAAACAATGAAAAAACATTAAAATCTCGATCTCTATATTTATAAAATCTCAATTCAAAATAAAACAAAAGTTTTAAAATCTCGTTCTTTATATTTTTTCCTTTATAAAAAAATATTGAAGGCTAAAAATATGATTTAAATTAGTTAATCAATCAATTAATCTTAATTTTTTAAAAATTACTCTGTTTATTTTTTATTAATATGTATAAATTAAAAATAATTAATTCATCTTTAGATTTATAATTTATAATCTTAATATACTATCGTTTGGTGTAGACATTTATTATATAAATCATAAAATATTTTTATTTAATAAAATTAAATATATTTAAAGAAAATAAGAAAAAATTTTCGGATCAATCGGGTGATTGAATTAGGGTACTGCCCAGGTTGATTGAATTACTTTTAGGTGATATTTAAAATAGTCAAATAAACTTGACACAACTTGGTTGGTCTCAGGTGACTAAGTTATGTAACAGTTCGACCACATCAAATCGATTATTGAGCCTAAATATAAATTTTATATTGAAAATATTTTATTACGTGAATATAATGTAATCCAAACTTTAAATAATCGTATTAACAATACTTTTATGACAACATGTTTAATGATTTATGAATATTTATATCTCATTTTATTAATATTTATGTGAATTAAATAATATTTTATTATAATATTTATTAATATACAATAAATATAAGGTTTTCAGAAGTGGACCGTCATCAAAGCGATTAAGCTATTTCATTAAATCATTTGTAGTTTGTTCAGATTTTAATTTATAAATATTTTAATATATATATATATAGTACTTTTTGTAATAAATTTAAATAAAATGTGTAACTTAGATATCTAAACAATTTATAAATTCAAATGTTTAAACTAATTGATAAATAATTTATAAATCTCTATTTTATTTAAATATGTATCTTTATTTAAATTAATTTTAAATATAACTAAATTTATTTAAAAAATCGTATCGAGCCTACCAGTCCAATCAACTGCTGTTGACAGATTCGAGAGTGACTATTTTATTCGAGCGAACTAGATTGATTATAAATTGGTTCTCGGTTCATCCGGTCGGACTGTGTCGAACTCGATATAATTTAAAAACAATGAATAAATCATGATTAATTAATATTATTTATATATTTAATTTATAATACAATCGTAATATTGTTTTCTAGTGCATTGTACAGGCCACGGACTAATATAGATATTAATAAGGGGATCGTGTTTCACAAAAAAATAAAATAAAAAAGTAAAAAGATTTAAAAAAAAAAAAAAATTGGGGAAGTTTTTGGGATGAATCATGAATCTTCTTGGAAACGACTGCGTTGGTTGTGGTCCCCAGTCGTGCAAATGGGCCCCACAATCTCATTTTGACCCCAGAGCTGCGTAATCCGCCCATTGCTGTAGCGCCACGTGGAGTGACCTTAGCTCAGTAAATCGGGCAGTCACTGGTTTTGGAGTGTCGAATCAGCTGTGACTGAGCCCAAGCAGTTACGGTCACCTTAGCAAAAACTCCCAACCTATAAAAACGCGCATACATAAGCTTCTCGATTTCGTCTTCTCAAGCTAATGATTTAGATATAAATTGGGAATTTTGAGAGGTAGCAGACGTGGAAAGGAGGCCTGTTACTTTCTTCTACTTCACGTGCCTCATAGAGATAAGGTAAATAAATTGTTGCGCTAATATTTGAATGCTTCTTGTTGATGATCGGTCTTGCTTTGGTCACTTGGTGTTTGAGTTGGGTCTTTGGTAGGTTTTCGTTTTTCTGGGTGAAAAAGGCTTCGAATTTCTGTAAAGGGTTTTGTGGGTTCTTGTTGTTTTAACAAAATTTGTCCATGGAATTAATAGAATTTCTATGTGATGTGGGTTCCTAGTTTCTAAACCTACTTTGATTGCGCCAGCATGTGTTGTTTGTTTGTTTATCTTCTGCTTGTTTCCTTTCTTTTTTTCATGGATATTTTTCCTGTGATCCTGATGCCCAATTTAGTATGCTTAGGGTAAGTTATAGTGTTATTGGATTTCCATTTGAAATGTGGTTGATAGTGTTATGGGTTTTACATTTGAAATGTGGTTAGTAGTGTTATCGGGTTTCCATTTGTAATATAGTTAGTAGTGTTATCAGATTTCTATATGAAATGTGGTTAATAGTGTTATCAGGTTTCCATTTGAAATGCGGTTAATAGTGTCATCAGATTTCTATATGAAATGTGGTTAATAGTGTTATTAGATTTCTATATGAAATGTGGTTAATAGTGTAATCCGATTTATACGTGCCTATTCTTCTTTCCTTTTTCTCAATTTGATTTTCCTTTTCTGGAAATGATTTTTTGTGTTCTGTGTTCATGATGTTTATAATTTGAGTGTCTTGAGCCTTCCCGTAGAATATATACTATTGCTACTTTCTCTATCGTTATCGTTTCAGTTAATGTGAAAATTTTCATCCTCGATGACATTTAAATCCATAACTAATGATGTAACGGGGCAAGAGCCACAAAGATGAGTTTTTTTAGTGGAGGCCAAAAATCTTGTACAATCCATGAAGTTTTCTTATATGTTAGATGGGTTAAATGAGCATCACTTTTTCTGTATAATGATGGTTCAACTGATTCAATGTTTCTCTCTATTTGAATGATCTGTTTTGTTTTTTTTTTTTCCTAGCATGCATATACATGAACATAGGAATTATGAAAGTCAGAATCATGTTATTATGTATGCATCGAAGATCCACAAATGTTTACATCCCATTCAAACAAGCATTTACATGCATATATAAACAGAAGTACTCATATAGTCTTTCTTTTCTATTAAGTTTTNCGTCTTTTTCATTAATCTCGACTTGGGTCTCGATGTGTCCTTCGGCTGAGTCTCCTCCCCATGCAGAACTCTGTTTGTTCTTGACTGATGACCAAATCATTCCATTTCTAAATGAGTACACACCACAATCCAATCTTCCAAGTAATGTGCTAGCAGACTGGAGCCCTTATCAATACCCACCCTCTAATCTACCAGGTTATTTATTTTATTTTAAATTGATGCTTTTTAAAGTTTTACGAAATTCACATCCCGGAAAATGAATTCTTATTCAGTACCCTTGAGTTCGTGACTCCATTTTTGTAATTCTTCGTTTGAATTTCATGAACTTTGGTAAATTCTCGATCCTCAGGTTCAATACTATACCTATCATGAATTTTCAGATGGCAATTTAGGATGTAATCATACTGTCTCTTTATATTTAATTGGCAAATACATATGAATTGATGGTCACGAGTCTGTTTTCTCTAAACACTTCAATTTGTTGAAGTGGATTAAATTGTTGAAGTAGATTAATTTGTAGTGGTAGAATCAAATGATTTTAGAGTACTTCATGTTAAAACTTAAAACAATGACATTCCCAAAGAGATATGGTTACACCATAAACTGGCAATTTTATTTACATCTTAGTATTTTACAGTCTCTCACTGCAAGAAAAATTGATTTTTGTCTACTTGCAGAAGGGATTTGGTACCTTGTTCCCATAGACGTGAAAAAGGAATATGTTCATGGGTTCTGGAAAGCCAATGCAGAAGATTCTAGGATTTACTCAAATTCCACAATCACTGGTTGGAGGACCACTTTGCATTATTTTGAAGGACAGGCCCCTGACGAGCAAAGAACAGATTGGCGCATGCATGAGTATTGGATAACAAGAAAAGAGCTATATGATAAAGATAAGCCAAAGGTATGAAAGCCAAATCTATTTATGGAATTGATAAAACTTTTAATGCCCCTTCTATTTACTAGTTTGGTTGGATAATTGTGCAGGAGTCAAGACTGCTATGCAGAGTCTTCTGTAATGACAAGAATGGGAAAAGTGAAAATCCTTCCCAAAATTACCTAACCACCATTGAACCAGAAAAGATTAATTTCTTGGCATCAATTAAATCTAATGCTGATGTAACCTCAGGCGAAGATTGTGGAAGTGAATCTAAAGTGAGTTGTAGTTATCGAAGCTTGATTACCTTGTATTATAATATCAAACAGCTCTATATATAAAATTGCACTCAAGTTTGACATTGCCTCATATTATTAGTTTCCCTTTTTTCCTCTGAAAAAATGAACTTCAACTGGAAAAGTGCATAGGAAATGGTTGAAAACATTAGTTCCCACACATCAGACACTTTAAGATTTTGTATCTGCTCATCTTTATGTTTGGTAAAAATTTATTTTTGGCATTTCCCTTTGGTTAATAGGCAAAGGAGGAGCGTGAAGTGGCAGCTGATAACAATGAACCTGATCCTGAAGTGAGCCATGTTGCAATTTTTTTCGTCAATGTCCAAGAGAATTTCCTTTTTACTTTCCGAGTATCATTAGTCCTTCTGTTTATTTAAACGACAAATGGGATTTCAACTAAATTGCATTGGATATTGGTTTAAATGCAGGCCAGGTCCTTCAAGGATTCATGCCATTTACCTATTTTTCCATGAAAGTGGAAAAAAAAAATAAAAAAATAAAAGATTTCCATTTTTGTGCAGGCGAATAGAGAGTGTGAAGGGGCAGTGGCTGATAACAAACCAAACTCGTCTGGACAAGTTTTCTCCCAAGTCGAGTGTTTCGAGAGAGGTGACTTCTTGGAATTAGCTGATCTTGAAGACAATGTCTCGCATTCTTCCAGTTCACGAAGCTCGAGCTGTCTCAGCAATTCATCTGATGAAGAGTTTGACGTGTCGGCTTTCCTGAAGGACATTGAGGCAGACGAGCTTAATTCTATTCGTGGGGAGCAGTCGAGTTCAAGATACGAGTTTACTTCGGTTAGGCCAGATGATATTGTTCTGCAGCCCCCACCTTCAGGTACAATTTAAAAAAAAAAAGAGTAAATAAAAATTATCTGTATAAATAATATACATCTCAAATTTTTCTCTGTTGAAATTTATGATAGGGACGTTATTGACTGGTTCCATACTTCAAAACAATGTTGATGAGGGCTCACAAAGAGGATTAACGGTCCAAAAGATGTCGGAAGATGAAAGAGAAATGGAAAATGCTACAGAAGGGCACAAACCAGACAGTTCAATTGAAGGAACGTCAAATGATGGTATTGCCAGTCGGGAGAGAAAGCCCGGTGATTCGAGCAGAATGAAGAAGCTGAAAATGTGTTTCTGTTTTAAGCCGTTCTGAAACGTATAGAGGCGTTTCGTTTCGAATGTGTTCCAGGTTTAAGCAAATGTAGCTATATTTTTGTGTGTGGGTGTTAGTGAGAGGAACACAAACATGAAAGGAAAGATGGCAACCAGTTATGTACAATGTTATGGAACAATTGCAATTAGTTCTTATTGCTTAATTATTAAATTGTTTTTGAGGATATATGTGAATTTATATAAAATAGCAAAGGCGTGCCCTGGCAAGAAAAATGGAATCCTGGCTTTCATTCACAGCTTGGATTGGACTAAACAAACTGAAATATTGAAATTGTGAGCAAAGTTGTAACCTCGAAAAGTTAGTGAACGGAAAAGAGAAACGATCAAATTTGTTCGATTTGAAATTGCCTTGTTTCCCAAATTAAATTGATGTTGGAAGCGAAATATTAGGGAGACTTGGGAATGTTTTACATAGACTACCATCGTGCGACGTAAGGGAGAATAATGACAAATTGTATGAATTAAAGAAGAGAATGACAGTCTTTGGCACTTTGTATCCTGTGGTTTGGGCTGTATTCATTCTTGTGTTGACCCGCTTTCTGAAGGTCTCGAGTGGTGGTACTCGCCTTTGGTTGATACAATTTATTTCAATTTTTATAAAATACTGTCATTTTAGAGTTCTTGTATAGAATTATTAAGTGGCTTGATAGTTATTTTCTTGATCAAACGCTATTCTCGAATGTCCTTAGATCTTCGTCTTCAAATTTTCAGGTGAAGTTTTGAGAGTTATTGAATTTAAGACTTTGATTTATGAGGTTTTATATGTAGTTTTGAGAAGAGCCTTATTTATATTTATAAGTGTAGGAGAAAGAGTCTTGAAAGACATCAATTAAATTGGTCTTTTTTTATTATCTCTTCATTATCCTAAGATTTTTTTATTATCCTAAGATTTGACTTGGTGGGAAAGAAATATTTACTTTATTAATTAAATATCTTATTTATATTGATTTTTTGTCCAAAAATAAATAAAGAGACTAATTAATAAAATATTAAAATTTTGATATCTACAAATGCAATTTAAAAATTTACAATAAAATAAAAGACGAATCAACATTTATACAAACTCAAAACTCCACTCAAATCAAATTCAATTAATTTTTTTTTAAATTAACTTTAAATTTACAATAGAGTTTAAAATATTAACTAGTGCGTGGCCCGTGCGATGCACGGGAAAACAATATTACGATTGTATTATAAAATAAATATATAAATAACATTAATAATGATTTATCCATTGCTTTTAAATTAAACCAAGTTGGATGAAGTCCGACCGAATGGACCAAGAACCAGTTTATAACCAATCTGTTCGCTTAAATAAAATGTTTACTCTCGGATCCGTCAACATCAGTCGGTTGGACTGGTAGGATCGATATGATTTTCTAAATAAATTTTGTTATATTTATAATTATTTTAAATAAAATTACATATTTAAATAAAATAGTGATTTATAAATTATTTATCAATTAGTTTAAACATTTGAATTTATAAATTGTTTAGATATCTAAGTAACACATTTTATTCAAATTTAATACAAAAGTACTATATATATATATATTAAAATATTTATAAATTAAAATCTAAACAAACCACAAATGATTTAATAAAATAGCTTGATCGTTTCGATGACGGTCCAGTTCTGAAAACCTTATATTTAATGTATATTAATAAATATTAAAATAAAATACTATTTAATTCACATAAATATTAGTAAAATGATATATGAATATTCATAAATCATTAAACATGTTGTCATAAAAGTATTGTTAATACGATTATTTGAAGTTTGGACTACATCACATTCACGTAATAAAATATTTTCAATATAAAATTTATATCTATGTTCAATCATCAATTTGGTGTGGTCGAACTGATACATAACTTAGTCAATTGGGACCAACCAAGTTGCGTCATGTTTTTTGACTATTTTAAATATCATATAAAAGTAATATAATCACCCGATTGATCCGAAAAAATTTTCTTATTTTCTTTAAATATATTTAATTTTATGAAATAAAAATATTTTATGATTCCTATAACAAATGTCTACACCAAATGATAGTATATTAACCTTATAAATTATATATCTAAAATGAATTAATTATTTTTACTTTATGCATATTAATAAAAAATAAACATAGTAATTTTTAAAAAATTAAGATTAATTGATTGATTATATGCAGTTTAAAGAATATTTTTAGCGTTCAATATTAGTTTTTAAGGGCACAAATATAAAGTCCGAGATTCTAAAACTTTTGTTTTATTTTGAATTGAGGCTTTATAAAAACATACACACTTAATAAATCTTAACCAGATTTTTTAAATAATAAAATGAGCTAAAACCCGAAATTCAAGGTAGCATTTAATGTTGTATGATTTTTAAGAAAAAATAAAAAAAATAATAAAACTTACTATTTATAGGCTACATTAAATTATGATCTATTTTTTTACTACTATTTTTTGTAAATGGTAATTCTTATTATATATATATATATATATATATATATATATATATATATATAA